CACAGCAAAGGCACACGGTTCCCCATTTTCAGGGATGCATTTGGAACGCTGTGGGGCTTCTAGATCACTGGAGTATGTGTGAATTTGACACTTCCCCTTCTTCAGATAGGAAACATTTCTGTGGCCTTGTTGGAGGAAGTGTGTCACTGTGGAGGCCAGCTTTGAGGTCTTATATGTGCTCAAGTCAGGTCTAGTTGGCAGCCTCTCCTGCAGCCTGTGGGTCAAGATGTAGAACTCTCTCAGCTTCTACTCTAGCACACATCTGCCTGTATGCTGCCATGGTTCCTGCCATGATGATACGGACTAAACCTCTAAGACTGCAAGCTAGCCCTAGTGAAATGTGTTCGTGTTGTATTTATATGTTTTTCCTGTTGTGGTCATAGTCTCTCTTCACAGCAATTGAAACCCTAACTAAGACAATGCCATTTATATTTAGTGTTTCTTTACCTTCCTCAGCATATGCCTAGGTAAAAATGTCTTAAGGAATACCAGAAAATAGCTTCTGGTTTGCTTGAAAAGAAAAGTTTTCCTAAACAGTCTTTATGCTATATACACAGATACCAATCAAAGTATCAAGGTATTAAGGTGGAAAAGATGACTGTAGATGGTTCTTAATTGGGATGTAGTTTTGTTAATTTCTCCTTTTCCTGCGTGGGTGAACACAGCTCGCAAAGGTGTTTGGGACGCTCGTTCTTTGTGCTCTGTACTGGTTTAGGCACCCACAGACGACAGCACACTCGCTTCCATTCAAGTTGCTGCTGCGGCTGACTGCAGCGCGTCCAGTTACTGCCCGGTCTCCCAGCTGCCCCTGCTCAGGGCCACATGCCTGTCTCCAGGAAATGAGCTCTCTAGAGAGAGGTTTACTGATACTTCCTGGTTAAGTAACAACATAGAGAATGTATTTATCAAGCTATCATATAGAAAGCTCTATCACAGCACTCCTCCATTAGTAAGAATGTAACACGAACCCACAGGCTTGATCAGCCTGAGACTCAAGGATGCAGTCCATCTGAGGCTGGAGTCCATCTGATACTCAAGTTAGGCTTGAGGCTCTGCTTTCTGAGTGTGATGTCCAACTTACAACCTCCATTCTTTAGCTTCCCAGTTGCGGCAGTCCATAAAGGAACCATCCCCTTTGTTCTAAAGCTACACAGCCTCTGTACCACAGCACAACCCTAAGACCCCTGGCCCGGTTCCTCTCCTTGAAACATCAACACACAGCTGCCAATGGGAAGGGGCCTGTGGCTGTCAGTGATAGCAGCCACTCCCCATCCTGCAGCTGCACCTGCATCTTCTGATTTCTGGAAAGATACTGAGAAGGCCTTTGAAGCAGTGAAGAGAAAGAAAGTTTGAGACACTAGGACATGGAAGGTTAAGGCTGAAAAAAAGTCCACATAAAGCGGTGTCATAAAAATAATGTACTTCCGGGGCTGGAGTGTCGGCTCAGATTAATAGCACTTGCTGTTCCTTCAGGGGTCCCCCAGTTTGATTCTCAGCACCCCACATACCAGTTCACAACGCCAGTTACAGGACACAAGCATACACGCAAGCAAATCACTCATACACATAAAAGAAGTAAATCTGAATAATATTAGTTTTAAAATAGAATTCTGAAACACACTGTTGTGGGAACTGGAGAAATGGCTCAGTGAATGCGAACCAGTGACCACCTGAGTTTGGATACCCAGCACCCACCGGAAAACCTGGGTATGGTCATGGTGCCTGTGACCCCACAGCTTTGGGGAGCAGAGACAGAAGGATCCCTGGAGTGTGCTGGCTACCAGCCTAGCCCAGATTCAGCTGAGAAACCCTGTCTCCTGAGTGCTGTGGAATAATTCTCTTGTAAAATGTAAGGATTTGTTACTCGAATTGGTTTAATAAAACACTGATTGGCCAGTAGCCAGGTAAAAAGTATAGGCAGGGGACCAAGCTAAGAATGCTGGGACGAGGAAGGGTGGAGTCAGGAGATGCCAGCCAGATGCAGAGGAAGCAAGATGAGAATGTTATACCGAGAAAAGGTACCAAGCTGCATGACTAAACATAGACAAGAATTATGGGTTAATTTAAGTGTAAGAGCTAGTTGGTAATAAGCCTGAGCATTTATAAATAACATAAGCCTCTGTGTGGTAATTTGGGAGGCAGTTGCCCCGTGTTTGGGAGTTGCTGGCAGGACAGTAACTTCCACTTACACACGTGAAAGGCGATAAAGCAGTTCTCTGGCCTCTGCACACACACCACACACACACAGATATAACAACGCGATAACTACATCCTTTAGCTCAATTGTTTGCCTGATAACAGCTAGCAGAGCACCAAGCATTGAGAGCATGGGAGGCGGGAGTCATGGGGGTGGTCCTGAAAAGGGACCCACGGCTTTACAAGGGAACAGAGGAGGGGATACTGGTGAGCAAAGTCAGGGAGAGCGTGGGCTTAAGGGTGGTATCCAGGAAGCACAAACAGAAGTAAGAAGGTACCTGAATAAGCAGCAAAGCCCACTTTGCCTCCACTCCCAACCTGGAAGACGCGCTGACTGCCCCTCACCCTTCCACTGTTGAGGCCATCAGCCACTGTCACCGCCACCTTGACGTGGAGGGCCACCATGCCTCCCTGTGCCCCGCACTCACAGCAAACGGACCACTCAGTAAATGGTGACTCTCTGCATTGCTCTGGAAGACAAACCATTTTTTGACAAGGCTATTCTAGCAGCTTCATTTTTAAGCCAGACTAACCAACCTCTGAATAAACAATGAAAATGAACTCTGTTTGAGGAAGGTGACAGAATAGTCAACAGGGATCATCGCCATTTCCTGGTGGTGTGTTTGGGATAAGGTGAAGATAATGTGGATGCCCTTGATATTGAAAAAGTCAGATCCATGGGAACTGATCAGTTTCAAACTTTACCTACTCTTTAAGTGAAATATGCTTGCTTCCTAACAAAGGCTTTAGAAAGCCACCTCCTGAGCCATGTGAATTATAAAATAAACAGCTCTTCAGGGCTGGCAGGTATCTCCCGACCCTTCCATCCTCTGAAGACACAGGGACAATGACACAATACAAGGCAGCACAGACGTGAGGTAGTGTGTCTGTGGGCCAGAGATCAGCCTCTGGTGTCCTTCTGGATGCTGCCCACCTTGCCGTTCTGAAACAGAGAGTCCCATTGGTCAGGGGCTTGCCAATTTGGCAAGGCTAGATGACCAGGAAGATTCATCTGTCTTTGCCCTTGAAACTACAAGCTGCCACCATGTCTGTCTGGCTTTTTCATATGAAATCTGCAGATTGAACTCAGGACCTCATGCTTATGTGGTGTGTGGCAAGCATGTTTTCATCCCTGACAGTAGAAACCAGTGTTCCCATGCACCTCCTCACTGATTGCACATCAATAACTACTTTTTTTTTTAACCAATGGAGCACACCAAGGACCTGAACCGGTTACTGCTCAAAAGCCAGCATATCTAACTTAAGAAAAAGCACAGCTCCCTGCCCATGGGCCTTCGCCTCACATACAACAACACTGCTGTAAATCTATGAAGGTAACACAATTGTTAAGGACTCAGTATTTTCAACAGCCACAACATTCATCGACCCTCCTGCAGGTTAAACAAATATTCCATGCTGACCTTAAGAAGGACTTGCATTTAGAGTTCTGACTATAGAACCTCAATAAATATTCATTCTCCCTTATTTTCTTTTATCAAAGTGCACAACTACCACTGAAATGCAGTTATTGTCAACTCTCTACTAGCTAATAAGGGATTGAAATAAGATTAAAAAGGATTAGTGTGGAGGGCAGATGGAGGGTGAAATGTGCCTGCTAATCACCCAACAGATAAGGTTTGGGTCTGTCTTGGGAGAACACACTATCTTAACATTCCAAGACCGACATTACCTTTTTAAACAAAACTGTAGTGTTTTAAAAATTGCTGTACCAGATAAAAACAATTTTTATGCAGACATATTTACAGAAATCAAAAGAGGGATTATTATAACAGGAAGAGATTCCACCCCCGTAGTCTGGACCCTATGTAGCTCAGGCTGACTTTGAATTGGGTTAGTAGCTCATGGTAGATATGAATTCTTGGTCGTCTTGCCTTCGCCATCTAAGCGTTAGGACAGACTGCTTCAGATTGTAAAACTGCAAAGAAGCTCTGTGCTAACATTCACAGACTGATAAAAAAGTTATTCGGTAAATGAACCCACAGCACGAGATATCTAATGCCACAAGCCAAGCCCGCTCTGCAGAGGGGTAGGTTGCCTTTCTCGGGGATGTCCTCCAGGCCCATCACTGCTCCTGAGTTTAAAGTAACTTCTGTTCCCACTATTACTTTTACTCCATTAGTTTTTTTCCTTATTATTAAAATAGGTAACCTCTATGAGAATCCTTTACCATTACAACAAATGACACAGTGACAACAAATGACATTATGCAGTGACCCAACTGTGCCGGAGTTAAAAGCCCAACTGCAGTGAAGAGCCAGTGTTAGTAGCACCTTGTGAACTAAGTCACTAGGAGCGGATGTCACCGGGGTCGTGGAAGGTGGAGGGTGGGCCTCCCTGTTTGGAGAGGACAGCTCGGGGCTCAGTCAGTGCAAGCTCTCACCCCTTACACCTGGAATGCACCAAGGAGGTCTGGAGTTGGACCCTCTCTTTCTCCTCCCTCCATTACCACTCTATGAGATCTGAACTCAGCTCCGCTTCCCCCAGATCCAGTCCGGTGCCTCATTCCTAAAAGTAGTTTCCACTCACCCTCAACACCCTGAGGATGTGTCAGGGACCCAAGGCACCAGCTCAGCCTAGGGATCCCTCTGCAGAGGTGTTAAGGAAGGACAACGCCAAGTCCTGGGAACCCCTAGGGAGCCTGGAGGACTCTGGGGGGAGTCCTGGGGAGCCTGAGGGACCCTGGAAGCTTAAGGAGTTCGGAAAGCTAGGCCCTTGCCCGCGTCCTCCCGACCCCCAGCCCACCGCTCAGCCCTGGGACCCTCCTCCCTCCCACCCGCCCGTACCGGCGTCCAGGTCCCGCCTCCCGGCGGAGAGTGGCCCTGGCTGGACTGGGCGCCGAGGCGACATGCCGGGAGGCTTCGATGCTCGGATCGGGCTGGGTCCCGCAGCCTGCTCGGGATTACCTGCCGGCGCCGGCAGCTTACCTCGTTCGCTCCCTAGTGAAGCTCCAGCGCCGTGTGTGTTTCGTATCCTAGGAAACGGCCAGGGCGCGCCAGCCCGCGCGGCTAGCCCGCTCACGCCACGCCCACGGAGGGCGGGGGTCTAGCATGACACGCCCCGCCCACCACCTTAAGCCCCACCTTCGCTAAGGGACTGCCTGACCAGTCTATTCTACCAATTCATCTCTTTTTCTTTATATAGTGTTTATTTATTCTTAAAACATTTTTATTATACAGTCGTCACCTTGGAAACATGCATATTTATATAATTCACCTCTATCACAGGGACTTTCTAGATGTTGACTTTCACAATGTATAAGTAAGGTGATTCAGATCTTGTTAGGAAAGATACTGAAACTGACAAGCTACAGCACCGCATAGTGAGCCTTGGATACACATGACTTAACATGGTGGAAGTGTGCTAGGTTCCTGTACTTGTTCCATTGGCACAAAGGAGGAATATTTCACCCACCAGGAACAAATTCTACGTGGATACAGGTTGTGAATTAGACTTTACATTATTATGTAAATCAAAGGAGGAATTGACACGTAAATGTTAAACACTTTGAAATGAATCAATTACACATCAAATACTGCAGGATAAGCTAAGTCTATCTTTAAAGGGAAATGATTAATCCTACATGAAGTGATTCCTATAGCTTATATGAAGTGATTTGCATCGTGGATACAGGGTATGAATTAGACTTTACATTATTATGTAAATCAAAGGGGGAATTGACACGTAAATGTTAAACACTTTAAAATGAATCAATTACATATCAAATACTGCAGGATAAGCTAAGTCTATCTTTAAAGGGAAATGATTAATCCTACATGAAGTGATTCCTATAGCTTATATGAAGTGATTTGCATAGCTTGCATGTCATGCAGCTTTAATAAATAAGGCATTGAGTTCCGTATATGAAGTGTTGGTTATAAGCTAGGACTGGAACAGCAAAATGAATCCACTGAAGACAGAAGAGGGAACAATGGTGGAGAGATCCCAGAGTGTACAGCGTGTGGGCGGGCATGTTGGACATCAACGTTGTCAAGAAGAGCTGAAGAAAAATAGACAATGAGAAAGTTGGCTCTAGAAAGTCAATTTTTAAAATTTGCATTTTATTTTCGAGATTATAATATAAGTATATCCTTTCCCCTTCTCTTTCCTCATTCCAAATGGTCCCAAATAACCACTCTTGCTCTTTCAAATTCAAGGCCTCTTTTTTTCGTTAATTGCTGTTATATGAATGTGTATATGAATATTTCTAGATATAAGCTGCTCAGTCTGTATAAAGTTACTTGGCTGTGTCTTTTGGTATCAGATAACAATAGATGCACTCTTCCCTGGAGAAGACTATGTCTCCCACTCTCAGCACTCCTTAATTACCTGTTACAAGCTCTCTGTGTAGTGTTGAGACCTTGAGGTTTCCCCTCACCCTCCCCCCACCCCTGACCCAGTACACTTTGGTAAGTTGATTGATGTTGTCCTTGTTCAGTTCATATTTAAACAGTAATTGGAGGGACTTGAGTACTGTGGGGTGCTCCCCTCTGGGCCCTGGATTAGGCACAGACCACACTCAAACACCAGTTCCCAAGCACAAACCAAACACAAAGATATCCTTTATTAAGCAAGGCAGAGAAAAGGTGACTGGATCTGACTTGTACAGAGACAGCAGCAAATAGCTTTGCAATCGTCTATTTTAAGAAGGGAAAGGGAGAGGTCTGTGTTAGAATGAGTCAGGATGTATTGTAAGTTCTGATTTGGGTATTTTAATTAGGTTAATCAAAATAATGAATTTCGGTTACTAAACCTTGATGTTTTGATCGTTGGACCGTGGCAACCAGTCTCAGGAATGATTCAGTGGATAAATAAGGGAATAGATGTTGGTGGCTAGCTTTAGGAAGGCAATCTAACAGTGTAGAAAGGGAGAGAGAAGGGTGTTATGGAATATTATTTTAAGATGTGTTACATTTGTTTATACTGTAGAATATTAATTTTAATGATGCAGAGATCTGCTGCATTCTTTTATGTTGCATTTGTTTAATTCTAGAAAGCTGTGTTACTTTCCCTGCCTGAAACACCTGATTGGTCCAATAAAGAGCTGAACAGCCAATAGCAAGGCAGGAGAAGGGATAGGCGGGGCTCGCAGGCAGAATAAATAGAAGCCTGAGAGGAGAGATGGAGGAGCAAGAAAAGGAGGAGGATATCAAGGGCCAGCCACTCAGCTACACAGCCAGCCCTGGAGAAAAGAAAGAAAGAAAGAAGGAAGGAAGGAAGGAAAGAAAGAAAGAAAGAAAGAAAGAAAGAAAGAAAGAAAGAAAAGTTAGAAATAGAGAAAGATAAAATCCCAGTGGCAAAAGATAGATGGAATAATTTAAGTTAAGAAAAGCTGGCTAGAAACAAGCCAGGCTAATGCTGGGCATTCATAAGAAAGAATAAGACTCTGTGTGCATTTATTTGGGAGCTGGGTGGCAGGTCCCCCAAAAGAGTAAAGAGCCAAAAGAGTAAAAACAACCAGCTACAGAAGCACAAAGGAAAAACTGTTAATGCCATGGTTGCTGTGCTCAGGCCTGTTACCGAGCCCTTTGGTCATGTTGGTGAGACTTTGTGGGTGTAGCTTCTGGCATTACTAGGACACACAATGTCAGCAAATTCCCTGATCCTCTGGCTTTTACAGACTTTCCACCCACACACAGTGTTCCTTGAGCCTTAAGGAACTGGAGGTGTTCTATAGACATACCCATTGGGACTGCGCTCCACACCTCTGCCTTGGATTGGTTGTGTTTTTCTGTAATGGTCTCCATCTGTCGAAAAGACAAGTTTCCTTGAGGAGAGATGAGGACTTGCCTGGAGCTCACTGTGTAGCTCAGGCTAGCCTAGAAAGGAGTCTTGACCACCTTTTTTCAGTCATGCCATCAGTATTTGGTTGGCTTGCCCCTTATTTTGGTTTCCCTTGGATTCATTCTGTAAAGTCCTTTGGCTGCAAAGGGGGGGATGGGGGGGCAGGTGCCTGTGCCTGTAGGGTGCTCTGCAGCTCAGGCGCCTGTGCCTGTAGGGTGCTCTGCAGCTCAGGTCCTTATATTGCTCAATTTCTTGGGTCTAGTTTACTTCCGTGTGGCCTCTAAGCCTGTTATTTATTCATTAAGAGAACATTGTTGGGCCTTAGTGGCTCACACTTTTGACCCCAGCACTGAGAAGGCAGAAGCAGGCAGATCTCTGTGAGTTTAAGATCAGCTTGGTCTACAAATCAAGTTCCAGGACATCCAGGGCTACAGAGAGAAACCCTGTCAAAAATAAGTAGAACACACACACACACACACACACACTTTATCAACTATGGACATAGTATAAATGGACTTCTAAGAGCTACACTTTAGGGTGAAGGAGCGAAATGCTAGGAGGGAGGGTGATGTAACAATAGATCCGTTTTGGTGTTGGAAGCATAGACTAAAACACCAGGTGTCATTAGCTCTAAGACACATCTAACAGCAGATCTGGGGACTCAAGAATCCTCGTAGTGTTTACAGTCTGTATTAGATGTGAGTGACAAATTTCAGGACTACTTGGGACTTTCCTCTCCGCAGACGTGGAATTAACGGTTTAAAGCTATCCTTGTTTCCTTAAGCAAATGTGAGTGTTTGCACGGCCATTACTACTGCAATACCCGGGCCTAGTGGCTTTCAGTGGACAGAGAAAGAAAATAGCTTTTAGTGAGTCATGTGTTCATCCATCCCTGCTGCACCACAGACTTCTTCCTTTCCTTCCTTCTTCCTGTGACTTTGTCTCCGTTAGAAAACCTGGCATCCAATGTTTGAACATTCTATCAAGCAGTCAGTTTGTATGGAAATTACTGTAAGGATGCACTGAAGACTTCAGTCGGGTTTAGACGCACATCTTATCGATGAGCCTACACCATGAAGTCAAGATTTATCTGCACAGTCATTTGTCCTTAGAGTACATCCCGCAGAAAGTGTGCTGTAATGGTCTGTTTTCATTTGTTTTGACTTATATACTTACTTCCATTTTGTATGTTTTTGGCTTATATACTTAAGATTAGCTACATTTATTTCTGTTTGTATTCAGCTTTAGCATTTTCAGTCCATTCATGTGACAACAAAACAGGACAGAATGTTTGTTTAAAAAGAAAAAACAAACCAACCAAACAAACAAACAAAACAAGCCAGTCAGTTGTAGCACACACCTTTGACCCAGAACTCCAGAGGCAGAGATAAGCAGATCTCTGTGAGTTCAAGGCCAGCCTGGTCTACAGCCAGACCAGTAACAAGACAGCTAGAGCAGTAACACAGAGAAACCCTGCCTTGAAGAAGCAAAACAGAACCGGGGGTGGGGGGAGTGGTGGAGGGGAGCAAAGAAAGAAAAATAAAAAAGTAAAAAAGAAGAACTACAGGAAGAGAACTAGTGTGCTTCCTCATGGGAGCCTTAAAATCGCAGAGACCATAATTATCCTGCTGATCCACAAATTCCATGAGACCCTGGGAAGGATTTCCTAATAATTTAGTGAACTGGTTTTATTGATAACTGGATCTGATAGATTATTCCTGTAATACCAGCACTCTGGAGGTTGAACAGGAGGATCTTGAGCTCAGGGCTAGCCTGGGATACATAGTGAGTTCAAGGACAGCCTGAGGAAAAATTGAGGTCATGTCAAAAAAAAAAACAAAACAGGGGGAAAGAGACGGGGGAGCTGGTGAATATGATCAATACATATGTGGCTGTCATTGTCAAAAAAAAGAAAAGAAAAACAACCACCAACAAAATTTCACCAAGCAATCCACGTCTACTACTTACATGAAAGGCAGAAGGTGGACTAAAACACTCCCAAAAGACTGAATGGGTGAAATAAGCGGCAGCCACACGGCCTGCAACAAGCCGCTGAACGTGTGTCCCTGTCAAAATGAGGGTGCTCCTCGGTAATTACAGCTGCCAGCGAGACCAGAGCGGTGGGATTGCAAGTTA